GGTCAGCAGCTGCCCCTTGGTGCGGGTGCAGATCGGCTCAGCAGGGCACCGCACTCTGTCTGGGAGTTGGGACAGCTCCACGTGTCAGCCAGAGCCCAGCACTGCTCAGCCCCATTGGCCCCAGCTCCCAGACAGCACATGATACCATGCCAAGCCACACTGCACCTGCGCAATTCCTGCTGCCCCCCCCACTGCTCTGGGGGGCTCTGCCATGGGTGCCCAGAGGCCCCAATCACCGCTGCTGCAGCCGGTTGGTGCAGGGCTTTTTATTTTCTGTCTTTCTTTATGTGTCAGGACTAGGCTGGAGCCAGATGGGGGCTGGGGCTGGGCAGGGCAGCCATGGGGGCTTCTCCCATGGCTCCCCCGGCCCGGGGAGAGGCACGCACAGCTGGAGGAGCTGTGGGAGAACCTGCAGCCACCTGGTTGTGCCTGCCTCTCCCCAGCCAATCCAAATCATTGAATCTCTCCAAATCAGCACCGAATCTTCTGAACCCAATTTGGCTGAATTGATTCAGGATAGTGACCGAATCTTCAAATCGAATCAGTCCTCCAAATTGGCTGAATCCGAATCGAATACTTCCCTATTTGCACAGGCCTACTGCATAATAACTGACAATAATTCTTGCAAGGCAACACTTCATGTTGTGAGATGTAGATATAGATGTGCACACATTATTTGTGATGATAGCTAACTGCAGCCATGATGTTGCAAACATTCTCTAATTGTCTTTGCAGGTTTACATTTTGTGGGAAACAAACAGCTGGGAGAGATAAATAGAAGTTCACATTTGTTTTGTGTAAATCCATGTAGCAAAATCCAAATTAAAATTGATTCAGGTACCACAGGAGAACAACATACTGTAAGTAATAAAGAGTATCATCCGTGGGCAGAACAACATATCTTAAGTAATAAAAAGTCAGAACTGAGATAAATTTGAAAGATGAAATATTCAAAGAGATTCCCAGTGAGATACGAAGTACAAGGAGTTTACCAAAATAGGCTTTTCATCTGCTCATGAGACTCTCAGAATTCTAACTATGAGACTAAAAGGAAATGAAATTCATTAGATGTGCCAGAATAAATATCTGAAGTTAAGTTGACCTAAATAAACAATGTGTGCGTGTTAAGTTCTTTATTAAAAAATGGGGTGGGGGTTAAAAAAGAAATAAAAATGACTGACAAACTCCCAAAGCATATATCAGATTATAAATGAAAACTGGATATTAAGAAGAGAAAACAATTTAGAACAGCTTCAATTTTTGTTATGAGTGCAGTACAGGACTAAAAACAAAGTCTCTCCCCCTCCCATTCCCATTTCCCTCAAATCCTTCACTTCAGAAGAAATCTTAATTTATACAATAGTGACAGAGAGAATTTCCTGGAGATTAATGGTGGGCCAGCAGGAACTGATGCACCTCAGGCATGCAGCTCCATGTAGTCAAGAAAGATCAAAATGCTATGTGTTAAGGTGGCTGAGGTCATAAGCAAAAGCTTGTATATGGGGAAAAAATTTTAAAAAAATACTCCCAAGTTAGCCTTTTATTTTACCAGATGTCCTCCAAATTGTGTCTTCTCTCACTGTATATGCAGCATGGCATGAATGTGGCACCCACTGGGCTCTGCTACATAGTAAATGCTCAATGTATCAGCCAATCAAATTGGAACAATAAGGTCAGATTTAAATGTCTAGGCAGAAAAGAGTGCTGAGGTCAGATGACCACAGCCACATGCCTATCCAGCCTTCTCTTAAAGACCCCTAAGGTATGGGATTATCAAATATAATTTGATTTTAAGTTTGTTATTGCTACGTCTAAAGAAATATACTCTTGCTTCAAATAGATGGCAATAAATAAATATATTCATTATCTTTACTGTACCATTATTTGATTATTCTTTTTATTGCACAGTTTTTATACGCTTGGGTTTGTAGTGGGGTTGTTAGGAAAGCTAAGGCAGATACGGAACTAGGGCTAGCATCAAGGACAACAAAAAGTCCTTTTTTAAATACATAGGGAGTATGAAGAAAGCACCAGGTAACGTGGGCCCCCTGTAAGATATGCTTGGCAATCTAGTGGTTGCACCACAGGAAAAGGCAGATCTTTTAAACAATTTCTTTGCCTCCATTTTTTTGTGCAGGGACCAGGACTCTGCCACCAAGATTCAGGACGGACTCAGGAGAGACTCTGCCAGGCCTAGGGTCAGGGAGAACCGAGTTAGGGAACTTCTGGAGGGCTTGGACATGTCCAAATCAGCAGGTTCAGATGTTTTCTACCCCAGGGCGCTGAGGAATTTGGCAGGGGTTATTGAGGGGGCCCTGGCATGGCTTTACGAGCACTCGTGGTGCTTTGGCCAGGTGCCACACAACTGGAAGAAGGCCAATGTGGTCCCCATTTTCAAAAAAGGGAGGAGGGAGGACCCGGGCAACTACAGGCCCGATAATCTTACTTCAATCCTGGGGAAGCTCTTTGAGAAGATTATCCAGGAGCACACATGGGAAGGACCAGCAAGGGGGATGATGCTCACAGGCAACCAGCATGGGTTAATTAGGGGCAGGTCCTGTCAGACCAACCTGATTGCCTTCTACGATCAGGTCACAAAATCATTGAACGCAGGTGTCGCGGTGGATGTAGTCTTTCTGGACTTCAGAAAGGCCTTTGACACTGTCCTCAACTCCATTCTCATTAAAAAGCTAGGCGACTGTGGCATTGATGCCTACGCAATCAGATGGGTCGCAAACTGGCTGAGGGGCAACATCCAGAGAGTGGTGATGGACAGGTCATATTCGACCTGGAGGAATGTGGGCAGTGGAGTCCCCCAGGGCTCAGTCCTTGGGCCCAGGCTGTTCAATTTCTTTATTAGGGACTTGGACGAGGGGGTGAAAAGCACCCTGTTAAAATTTGCTGACAACACCAAGATTTGGGGAGAGGTGGGCATGCTAGAAGGGAGGGACAAGATACAGATGGACCTGGACAGGTTACAGGGGTGGGTGAATGAGAATAGGATGAGATTCAATACTGACAAGTTCAGGGTACTGCACTTGGGCAGTAAGAGCCAGCAGCATACCTATAGGCTGGGGAACTCCCTTCTTGAAAGCACAGTGGCAGAAAGAGATCTTGGAGTCATTATCGATTCCAAAATGAACGTGGGCCACCAATGTGAGGACGTGGTCAGTAAGGCCAACTGCACCTTATCATGCATCCATAGATGCATCACAAGCAGGGCCAAGGATGTGATCCTCCCCCTCTATGCGACACTGGTCAGACCACAGTTGGAGTACTGCATCCAGTTCTGGGCGCCACACTTAGGAGAGATGTGGCCAGCATCGAGAGGGTCCAGAGGAGGGCCACTCACATGATCCGAGGCAGTGGGGCAGAACCTATGAATGGAGGCTACGGGACCTGAACCTGTTCAGCCTTCACCTTCACAAGAGAAGGCTGAGAGGGGACCTGCTGGCCATCTACAAACTTACCAGGGGGACCAGCAGGGAATGGGAGAGACCCTGTTCACCCAAGCACCTCCCGGAGTAACAAGGAATCATGGCCATAAGTTGTTTGAGTAGGTTCAGGCTGGACATTAGAAGACACTACTTCACAGTCAGGGCGGCTAGGATCTGGAACCAACTTCCAAGGGAAGCAGTGCTGGCTCCTACCCTGGGTGTCTTTAAGAAGAGGCTTGACAATTACCTAGTTGGGGTCATGAGAGCCCAGTATTCTCTCCTGCTCAGGGCAGGGGGTCAGACTTGAAGATCTACTTAGGTCCCTTCCGACCCTACATCTATGAATCTACGAATCTGTACA